ACCCGGAAGGTGCCGCGTTGCCACGCCCACCTCGGGACTCGGCCATGGAGCCAGTGCTGTAGCGGTCTCATATGGAGCAGCCCCAGCGGCGTGACTGCCGCCGAGGCCGCCATATGCCCCAGGAGCCTCTGAAACTGTTTCAGTGGGACCGCCATCCTGCCCTTGAACATATTCAGGCAGTTCAACACCGACTGAGCACGTCCCTGCATGAGGCGTGCTCGACCAAATCCAACTCTATACCGAGAAAAGAGATCCTCTGCATCGAGAAGAGTTTGCTCTTTTCCCAGTTGACCTGAAGGCCTAACCAGCTGAGGTGCGAGTGCACCAAGTGCCTGTGTTCGCACAACTGATCCTGAGCTAGTATGAGCCAGTCGTCGAGGTAGTTGAGAATGCGAATGCCCTGCTATCTCAGGGGAACAAGGGCTGCCTCCGCAACTTTCATGAAGATACGGGGTGACAGGGACAGCTGGAGGGTAGGACCTTGTACTGATATGCTCGTCCTTCGAATGCGAACCGCAGCAATGGTCTGTGGTGCGGAAGGATCGACACATAAAAGTATGCGTCCTTCAGGTCGATCGCTGAAAACCAATCTCAGGGACGGATGCACCCGAAGATGCATTCCTGTGTCAACATCTTGAACGGTAACCGGTGAAGGGCTCATTTCAAGACACACAGGTCCAAGATCGGTCATAACCCACCGCCTTTCTTGGGTACAATGAAGTAGGGGCTGCACCAGTAGGACTGCGATCTCTGCACGCAAGACAGGAGCATCGGCCACCTTCACTGATGTGATGCAGATGCCACTGAACTTGGGGGGACTCCGGGCAAACTGAATTGCATAGCCGAGTCTGATGGTTTGCAGGAGACAGCGAGACGTTCGGGTAGCCAGACACCCAGACACCGTACAAGCTGGACCGGCGGGACCACCGACGTACCTGCGGTGGGGCAGCGAGGTGGAACGCAGGGACCCGGTCCATTGGGCGGACCAAAGGAGCTAGCAGGTCGGTGTCCGGCAGAAAAAGGTGCCTTCCACGACCTGGTAAGCCCTCTCATGCACCTCCGGGAAGAAGCTCCGGCTCACCCTCCGATGCAGCGATCGACATCCAATCGTCGGGAGGAAAGCCGAAGGATACTGCTGGTACGCCCCTTGTAGAGGGCCCAACACGTTCCTTTGGCAGCTCAACTGGTTGCGGAGTGCAAGAGGAGCGATGGTCCCCGGGGGTTGGTTCCCTGGAGGATTTTCCATCACTGTTACCCTCAGACCACCCGTGCTACTGCCTGAAGTAGCCCCTGCCTGACTGCCTCCATGACGAGAACTAGATCGAGGCAGAGGCAATGGAGCTCCGCCCCTTTTGAGGTAACGGAGCTTGGCCTGCAACTCCGAGATGGTCATCTTCCCGCAATGAGAACATGACTCATCCACGAACACCACCTCCGCGTGCTTAATGCCCAGACATGTGAGGTAGTGTTCGTGACCATCACCCAACGCCAGGTAACGACCGCATCCAGAAACGCACGGGTGATACGTTGTCTGTAGCAAGACGCAATGCCATCTTTAAAAAGACGCAACGTTGAGTTTGCCAGACGCAACAGCGTCTTTAAAAAGACGCAACGTTGAGTTTACCAGACACAACGTCATCTTTAAAAAGACACACCCGTGAATGCTCTTTTAGGGAGAGTGACCGACTGAAAGGGAACTAAAATTACAAAAATATTTTTGGTACTTGAAATAAAATAAACATTAACTGAAATAAAATTATTTGTAATTTCAGGTAATTGCCAAAACTAAATTAACTTAAATTAATAATTAAAAATAACTATGTAATAACTATATAAATAATTAAACTATGTAGACATAAAAAAACGAACAAAAAAAGTACTAAAACTTGGACCACAATTAAAGTGATAATAGAAAATACATAATTCAAATCTAATTTAAAAATGTAACAAAAACTTTGATAGTATATCAATTATACTAAAACACATTGATATTATTATAGTTAACTAAAACTATGGCCATTAATACAGACCCTGGACCACAAAACCAGTCATAAGGGTCAACTTTTTTGAAACTGAGATTTATACGTCATAAAAGCTGAATAAATAAGTTTTCCGTTGATGTATGTATGGTTTGTTAGGATAGAACAATATTTGGTCGAGATACAACTATTTGAAAATCTGGAATCTGAGGGTGCAAAAAAATCAGAAAATCGCCTTTAAAGTTGTCCAAATGAAGTTCTTAGCAATGCATATCACTAATCAAAAATTAAGTTTTGATATATTTACGGTAGGAAATTTACATAATATATTAATACCTTTACTTAATACCCTAATGATTTTTGGCATAAAAGAAAAATGGATAATTTTGACCCATACAATGTATTGTTGGTTATTTCTACAAATATACCTGTGCTACTTATGACTGCTTTTGTGCTCCAGGGTCACATATTAGGGATACACGACATCTAGTGTCATTTAGTTTGCAATAAAACAATTAAAAAGGAGCGATGGTCCCCCGAGGGTTGGTTCCCTGAGGGGTTTTCCACCACTGTAACCCTCAGACCGCCCATGCTACTGCCCGAAGTAGCCCTCGCCTGGCTACCGCCAGGACAAACACTAGATCGCGGCAGAGGCAATGGAGTTCCGCCCCCCTCGAGATAATGGAGCCTGGCTCGCAACTCCGAGATGGTCATCTTCCCGCAATGAGAACATGACTCATCCACGAACACCACCTCCGCGTGCTTAATGCCCAGACATGTGAGGTAGTGTTCGTGACCATCACCCAACGCCAGGTAACGACCGCATCCAGAAACGCACGGGTGATACGTTGTCTGTAGCAAGACGCAATGCCATCTTTAAAAAGACGCAACGTTGAGTTTGCCAGACGCAACAGCGTCTTTAAAAAGACGCAACGTTGAGTTTACCAGACACAACGTCATCTTTAAAAAGACACACCCGTGAATGCTCTTTTAGGGAGAGTGACCGACTGAAAGGGAACTAAAATTACAAAAATATTTTTGGTACTTGAAATAAAATAAACATTAACTGAAATAAAATTATTTGTAATTTCAGGTAATTGCCAAAACTAAATTAACTTAAATTAATAATTAAAAATAACTATGTAATAACTATATAAATAATTAAACTATGTAGACATAAAAAAACGAACAAAAAAAGTACTAAAACTTGGACCACAATTAAAGTGATAATAGAAAATACATAATTCAAATCTAATTTAAAAATGTAACAAAAACTTTGATAGTATATCAATTATACTAAAACACATTGATATTATTATAGTTAACTAAAACTATGGCCATTAATACAGACCCTGGACCACAAAACCAGTCATAAGGGTCAACTTTTTTGAAACTGAGATTTATACGTCATAAAAGCTGAATAAATAAGTTTTCCGTTGATGTATGTATGGTTTGTTAGGATAGAACAATATTTGGTCGAGATACAACTATTTGAAAATCTGGAATCTGAGGGTGCAAAAAAATCAGAAAATCGCCTTTAAAGTTGTCCAAATGAAGTTCTTAGCAATGCATATCACTAATCAAAAATTAAGTTTTGATATATTTACGGTAGGAAATTTACATAATATATTAATACCTTTACTTAATACCCTAATGATTTTTGGCATAAAAGAAAAATGGATAATTTTGACCCATACAATGTATTGTTGGTTATTTCTACAAATATACCTGTGCTACTTATGACTGCTTTTGTGCTCCAGGGTCACATATTAGGGATACACGACATCTAGTGTCATTTAGTTTGCAATAAAACAATTAAAAAAATATATTTTTGTAGATATTTATTTTAAAAAAACGAATAAAATTACTAAAACTTTAACTAAAATGAAAGTGAAAACTGTAAATCTAAATAGAAATATGTGTGTTCAGGAGGAATGGCGGCAGGCGTGAGTGGCGTCTCAGGTGTGGTTCAGGTGGTGGACTCTCCTCTCCTCAAACAGCAGATCGACGTGCAGCGACTCGCCATCAAGCAGCTGAAGAGTGAAAACTACAGACTGAAGGTCAGTGTGAGCCGCTCCACACACTTACGCACACACTCACACTCACACACACACACACACTAGGGGTGTGCGATATATATCGTCTGCGATAATATCGTAATTGTTGTTTTAACGATGTGCGATTTGACATTATCGAGTATTTTGCAAAAACACACACACTCACACACACACAGACACACACACTCACTCTGTGACTTCTGACCCCGGCAGGCTGAGAAGATGCGAGCGCAGCTGTCGTCTCTGCCGCCGCTGCAGCCGGTGAACATGACGGCAGTGAAGGAGGAGGCTCCGGCTGGATCTCTGTACCGCAGAACTGATCTGCTGCTGAACAACCTGCTGAAGATGAGCGCCGGCCTCAGAGTTGTCGACATCAGCGGGAAAACCTCAGGTGAGCTACCACTGCATCACATCAGCTGCAGCAGCTCAGAAAATCAGTCCCGACTCAACTAACACGGTTCCATAGCTCGTGTGGTGGGTTTTTTTCCTTTTTGGAATAATATATTTATAATTAAAAAAAAAAAAAAAAAAAAACATTTTGTTATGGAAGCAAATTTCCGCCATGCAAGAAAAAAATGTATGCCTTAAAAAAAAATCGACAATAAGTCATAATTATGAGAAGTCAAAATTGTCTTTAAAAGTAATAAAAAAAAAATCTGAAGTGTAATTTTTTTTTTTGGTGAGAAGAAAATGTTTAAACACAAGAAAAGTTTTTGAGATTTTTTGATGATCGAAAATTCCTTTATAATAAGGGAAAACATTTTTTTGATTAGAAGGAAAAAAATGATTTTTGATGAGAAATAAAAAATATATATTTTTGATGGGGGCCCCCCCCTCATCAGGGGAAGGGGGGAGTTTTCATGAGGAACACACTTTTTGATAGCACTTTTTGTGAGGAACAATTAATCTTTTTTTTTTGATGAGAGAAAAAAAAAATTTTTATGAGAGAAAAAGTATCAATTTCTTTAAAAAACGGCACCATTGTGCTCCAAACTGAGCGGCGGTTGATATATGTATATAAATCTATGAATGTGTAATATCCGTGTTTGCAGCGAGTGCGAGTGCTCAGCTGCTGGAACAGACGGCCAAGATGAAGTCTCTGAGCGACACGCTGGACAAACTGAAGGTCAGTGTGATGTACAGTGTGTTCTGATGAAGTACAGTGTGTTCTGATGAAGCACAGTGTGTTCTGAAGGTGTTTGACGGTGTGTGTGTTTGTCTCAGGCTGAAGTGTCGCAGCACATTGTGTCGCAGCGGCCTGGAGCTCGTGTGTCGTCTGACTTCGCCTCGTTCCCCTCCGCCTCTTTCGTCAAGGTAAGAGCGCACAAACACACTTCTATAGCTCCATGAGTGTGTTCCGGAATAACCCTGCAGACGTGTGTGTCTCAGGCCAAAGCGGAGCAGCAGAGCGGCTCGGTGCTGGTGGGGAAGGTGATGATTCCCTGCGCTCGCGGCGCGGAGCAGACGCACTGCCTCGTCCTGTCGCAGCAGCAGCTGCAGCGCGTGCATCACCTGCTCATGACGTAAACAATCCCACGCTCTCAGGAAACATCCGGCGCCAAAGACGCATTACTGTCTTCTGATCCTCCAGCGCCTGAACACAGCCTTCATCTTTCTGACATGGGACAAAAAAAGTAAAGTAATTGTGACTTATCTCACAATTCTGACTTTTTTTTTTTTCATGATTGAGACGCGTAATTGCAAAATAAAAATGCCAAAAAGTCAGAATTGTCAGAAAATAGTTAAATTTTTGTAGTGAAAAAAAAACAGAATTGAGAGATGTAAACTCAGGATTGCGAAAAAAAAAAAATGCTATTCAAAGTTATATCGCAGACGTTTTTCTGGTAATTTATATCTCACAAGTTAGAATTGCAACAAAATCGTGGAAGATGTAAAAAGGAAGATGTATAAAGGATAAAAAAAATTAATTTCAAGATGTAAACTCAGAATTACAAGAAACAGTCAGAATTGCGAGAAAGTAATCCATAACTCTGAGTTAATATCTCACTTTTTTTTTTTACTTTTTTCCTCATAATTCTGAGTTTACATTTTTGTGGCGAAAAAACAAAACAGAATTGCGAGATGTAAACTCAGAATTATGACTTTGTTCTGTTGTAAATTTGAGTTTAAATGTTGCAATTCTGACTTTTTTCTGGCGATTCTGAGCCCAAAAGTCAGAAATGTAGTTAAAACAATTTTGACATTTTTGAGGTGAGAAAAAAAAAAAAAAAAGCACTGTGAGATGTAAACTCAGGATTGTGGGGAAAAAAGTCAGAATTCTGAGTTATATTGCAGTCCTGACTTTTTTCTTGTAATTTTGAGATTATATCTCACAATTTAGAATTGGAAGATATAAAAATGAAAATAAAATAAAAATAAATAAAACATTTGTGGGAAAAAAAATATTTTCAAGATGTAAACTCAGAATTACAAGTAAAAGTCAGAATGGCATTTCTGAGAACGAAAGTCAGAATTTCGAGATATAAATTCAGAATTAGGAGATGTAAACCGGCAATTGTGAGAAAATGTCATGTTTTCTTTTTTCATGGTGGAAACGAAGAAATAGAATTGTGAGATGTAAACTCAGCATTGCGAAAAGAATTATTCCTTTAACAGAGGAAGATTTACTCGAAGCTGAATCCATGCAGTCAAGCTTTTAAATAGTTTAACTTTATTAAGGTAATACCATAACGCTTTCAATACTTAGTTCACGGATATCTTTGCTTCCATGCTTTGGTTTTCTATTTAGTCTAATCGTTTGGTCTCACATTTCATATAATAAGGCATCAAGGTTTGTTTCTTGTCATTTTATGAATAATCTTTTGGTGAAGGAAGTTAAATTGGTAGGAAAGAGATCAGTAGGTTTCGATGATAATCGTAGGTTTGCACCAGTTACTCACTCATATATTAGCGCTTCATTAGAGTTAACGGACCAATCAATCAAGAGCCATGACTATATATGAGGCACATCGTTTGAGCGACACTCATGATTTATGCAAGTCAGAAGCACAAGTGTGTTCAGTCACTCTTTCCTTATTTAACACCTTTTGCAAATGTTTTGTTACTCTTCTGATCTTCTCTCTAAATGATTTGCTTTCGTTCTCTTGGATGGTTGGTTCAGTGTTTTAATAGTTTATGCATTTGACAGGTTTCTCAATGGAAACGATTGCAATAAAGTTGAAAAAAAAAAAAGTTTTTTGTTTGTGCTTGAATTTTTTTATCCACTCAATATTTAACTTTGTTAACAAAAATAATGCACAGTATCCTGCTCTCAAACTCATCTAAAGCTTACTTTTGATAACACAAGGTTTCTGTGAGTATTAAAAGTCTTAATTCTTTCCACAAGTTATGGCCTCATGAATGCATAGTCATATGCTTAAATTCATAAAGTCATGACATTAAATGTTGCATGCACTGCAAAAATCGAATATCTTCCACAGTATGTCTGTATTGTTTTACTATACAAATCGTTAAACATCCAGGAAAAATTACTGGAGAAGCTAAATTAAATTATGAAGTTTTGTTTTCTGAGAAATTGAACAAAAATGAGTTTCTGCTTAAAACAAGGACAAATATCTGTGAATGGGGAATGAAAACTTGTTTTCCCTTTCAGTGGAGTTGATTTTTAGAGAGCGTATTGACATTGTGTTCCATTAAATTTATTCCTTAAATTATCTGTACTTGGTCTTAGTCTTTTAAGAACTAGAAAAATGCATTGAGATAAAATTATGAGATAAAAAGCCAAAATTATGACAAAAAGTCATAATTATGAGATAATTGATATGATGACATAAAAAGTCATAATTATAAGATAAAAAGTCATAATTATGAGATAATTGATATGACAAAAAGTCATGATTATAAGATGAATAATTGAAATTCTGACAGTCATAATTGATATGATGACATACAAAGTCATAATTATAAGATAAAAAGTCAAAATTATGAGGCAATTATTAGATAAAAAGCCAAAATTATGACAAAAAGTCATAATTGTGAGATAATTGATATGACAAAAAGTCATGATTATAAGATAAATAATTGAAATTCTGACATAAACAGTAGTAATTATGAGATAAAAATACAAAATTGTGACATTAAAAGTCAGTTAAGATTAACCAAAATTATGACAAAAAGCCATAATTATGGGATAAAAAATAAAACATGACCTAAAAAGTCAATTATGAGATGTCAAAATCATGACAAAAAGCCATAACCATGAGATAAAAAAGTAAAAATTACAACAAAAGTCATAATTATAAGATTAAACGCTGAAATTATGTCACTTATGGGATAAAAAGTCAAAATTACGACAAAAAAATGGCATAGCCATAATTATGGTAAAAGGTCAAAATTATGATAAGTAAATTATGAAATAAAAGTCACAACTGTGACAAAAATCATTTTGACATTAAAAAGTCAAAATATTACTTTAAAGCCATAATTATCAGATAAAAGTCAAGATTATGGCATAAAAAAAATCATAATTATGAAATAAGTCAAAATTATGACAGTCAATTGACAAAAATGTTAAATTATTATAAATTATATCATAAATTATTATAAATGATATTAACCCATTAAAAGGTTAAAATTTTGAAATTATAACAAGTCAGTTATGAGAGAAAAAGCCATAATTATGATAAATAATTATAATAACGATAATGATGACAAAAACAGTTTTGGTTCAGTTAACATCTGGTGAATTTAGTAAATGTTTGTTTGATACTTTGTCAATATTTTACTCAATTAAAAGTCAGAGTGCTCAAACTTTAACTTCGGCACATTTTCTGTGTAGTTTGTACACTTTTCTATGAATTTAATTTACATGTATCAAACAAGCCGCATGTTTTCGAATGATATTGTCTATATATTGAAGTCTATATATATATATATGTCTATATATATTTTATTTGATATTTCAAATAAAAATGAATGTGTTCATCAATAGTTGATGTTAAATGCTGAAAGGATTTTTGTAAATCCAGTGTTTAAATGCTGTGTAATGACTGATCTCTGAGTGAACGTCCACACAACTGAAAACTTGTGTTTCAGGTCTGTTTTACTGCACATGCACAACATTGTTTTCTTACATGAGAGATCAGATTACAGACGAACTGAAGTTCATGATAAAACTGCTTTAAATGCTTCAACATGTTTCCGTATTCATGATGTATAAACTAGCTACTAGTAACAATTGTACGTCATACACCACTCATTTCAATTAAAGCATAAAACATGCTCTGTGATGAAATATAGTGAAAAAACAAATACATTTACATTTATCTTAAACACATGAATTTCAGCACTGTCTCAACAAGCATTGCTAGTAACTATTGTTACCTAAAACTGAAAAAATGTTTGAAATAAACCAAACAATATCTGACATAAAACTATTTCAAGCACATAGAACGCAGTACAGAAGACGTACGGCATCTGTGCAGAGCATCTTCCAGTCAGAAGCAGCAGAAACACCCAACACAACGCCAGCAGCGCCTTCATGCCCAGATATCTGAACTGAACACCGCATTTAACATCCAGGACTTCCTCGTTTCTGTTCAGACTCCGCCGCCTGCTCTCAGGAGAACGTGTGGATCAGAAGAGCTCAAATCAACACCAGCTCTGAGACCACGAGAGATTCTAATGCTTTCATTTAACATCCACTGGTTATTATTCCATATGCTGTGTGTTTACAAGCACTTTCTGCTGTATCAGTCTCCTCAGGAGTTCTCAACCCGTAAACCAAAGAACTTCCATAACTTTTCATTTGTGATTAATGCACTTTGATTTATTTAGGACTATTTGTAATAGATTGTATCATTTTAATATTTTAGATCTTATATTATCTTTTATACCTTATATTATATTAAATATTTGTACTATTTAAAATATCAGTTTTCTGTGTGAATATATGTTAAACTGTAATAAATTTCTGTGATGCGCAGCTGTATTTTCAGCATCATTACTCCAGTCTTCAGTGTCACATGATCTTCAGAAATCATTTGTTCAAGAAGCATTTATTATTATTTTTATTATTATCAATATTTAGTTGAGTACATTATAGAAATTATAGGGGGGTTATAGAAATTAATACTTTTATTTAGCAAGGATGCTTTAAATTAGTTTTTGCTGTATTTTGAATCAAATAAATGCAGACTTGGTGAGCAGAAGAGACTTCTTCAAAAACATTAAAAATCTTACTGATCAAAAACTTTTGACTGGTAGTCAAGAAGCAAAGGTGTATATATATATATGTGTGTATGGTTTCAGTCACATGACGCCGTGGCATTAATGATGACACTGTCATATGACTCTGTTTGATCATGTGGAACAGAAATCTAAATACTGAGAAAATCATCTTTAAAGTTGTCCAAATGAAGTTCTTAGCAATGCATATTACTAATCAAAAATTAAGTTTTGATATATTTACGGTAGGAAATTTACTAAATATCTTCATGGAACATGATCTTTACTTAATATCCTAATGATTTTTGGCATAAAAGAGAAATCTATAATTCTGACCCATACAATGTATTGTTGGCTATTGCTACAAATATACCCCAGCGACTTAACACTGCTTTTGTGCTCCAGGGTCACATATGAACTTTGAAATTTTTATAAATAAATAATCTGACATTTTATAGCAACACATTTTATATTTGGGTAAATTCCGGTAAATGAAGCCAGTT